CTCACTGAACTCTCTATAAATTAGAAAGTTGCATTCACTAATCCTAATATTTTTCTGTACCATAAAAGTTACTAAAGAACAAATGTCGAGTTATACCCCATGCAACAATATACTGACAAAATAGCTCATCTACTTCTGTTAACATAACCTAATTTTCTTCGAAACTTATAACTTCTAGAAAAAGTTTTATTGGCACCAATTGCACAATTATACCAATGAAGTGAAAAAGATTCGAAGTGTTTATTTATTTTATATGTGTGAATTTATAAAAAAGAACATTGATTTTAATAGCTAGAAAGGAAATTTGTGGGTTTGTGGGGTATATTATATTATTTAACTAAAATATTTAGTCGATTAGTTCGCCTGAAACAATTATGGTTATTTTAGTGGCATTAACCAACTAAATACACTTCATTAGGCACATATTATACACATATATAGCTTTAGATTTATGTATATTAAGAGCATAATATCACATATATAATAATTTTATGATACGCATTTGAATACATACATATTAACATATATCAAATTTTATTAACCACACTCTACAAAAAGTCTGCTGGCTTGGGTAATACAGATCCAATTAATACCAACCATGCCAATCGTACGGTTTATTATACTGGTTCAGAGGCCAACATAGTCAAAACATTTTGTCAAGTGCGTAATTGCCACCTGCGTGTGGAACCATGTAAGTGGACATTGATTTAATTAAATTACTTAGTTACAATCATAAATGTTTTGCTTGTATGTATGCGTATGTGTGTGTGTGTGGCTTTGTGTTAATTACACAGATTGATAACATTACGAACACCAAGGTTATGACCACAATTGACTTTTTCTTAATAGATGGTGTTGACGACTGGGGAGCTATATATGATAATGAGACAGCCACTGGTAATTTAGGTGGCATATATGCACAACATATTGAATTAGCAATTGGTTGCTTTTACAATTGGTATAATAACATCACAGAAACTTCAGGCACAATAGCGCGATCTGCAGTAACATTATTAGGACCCGCACCTTCGTAAGTACACAGTCGCTTTAGATAGTAACTTAAAGATACTATCAAATTTTAATAATTGTTTTATATTTAGTTTACATCCAGCTTGGCGTACGAATATAATGCCTTTCAGCAATAAACTCTGGGTGTTCCTTTTGTGCACACTCAGTCTTTGTAGTTTTCTCATGTATTTTATAAAGTTTTCAAATCATTCTTTCAAGCACTCAAAGAATAGAGTGTTTAGACATATGAATGTACTCGAACATTCTGTATTGAATATCTTTGCAATATTTATACAGCAACCTTATGCACATACTGGGTGAGCTTATCATAATTTAAATAAAAATAATGGTCAGAAATCCATTAACCCTGCTATATTTTTTCAGTTTGCACTATATTTCTATACGTGTCTTTCTAACAGCTTTATTGTGTGCTGCACTTACATTAGAAAATATTTACAGTGGTCAGTTAAAATCAATACTGACTATACCATTTTACTCTGAACCTATTGATACTACATATAAGTGGTCCCAAATCAACTGGAAATGGGCAGCACCAGCTGTGATATGGGTAAAAACTATTGAAAACTCTGATTTGGTAAAGGAACAAGTTTTAACTAAAAATTTCGAAACTCGAAACTATGATTTTCTATACAACGCCAGCTTTCGTAATGATTACGGCATAGGCATTGAACGTTTAATGAGTGGTTCATTCAGCTTTAGTGACTTTCTTACAACCGCAGCACTAGATAATAAAATTGTAAGATTACTTACTCGTATATCATAATTATATATTAGTCAAATACTAATTAATTATTTTATAAATTTTATTATTTTAATTATTTCCATTCACTAAATTAATTTTAGTAAACTTACAGGTACTGAAGGATGATCTCTATTTTGACTGGACAAGAGCTATAAGTATAAGAGGGTGGCCTTTAATGCCGCTTTTTAACGAACACATACTCATTTGTATAGAAACTGGACTTTTCATACATTGGGAAAAAGAAGTAAGTGAAGCGAGTAAGTGAAGAAGTTATCTGTATAGTAAATATATATTTTTTAGGCTGCTGAACAATATCTTAATCGACAGGTACAAGACATGATGTTTAAATTAGCTTCAGGGCATATAAACAAAGTTCCTCCTCGTAAATTAACTGTGGAAAATATATCGGCAGCATTATTCGCTTTAGGATTTGGTTATTTAATTGCGGCAATTGTTCTGTTATTGGAGATTTTTACTTCAAAACTAACTCAAAGTTCCAATGAGATAAAGAAAAAAGCTACTTTAAAACGAAAGCAAAGAATGTTGAACAAAAAACTACAGAGCTAACTTAAGAATACGACGCATATACTATAATTTTAATCAATCAAATGAATTAATCCTTTTTCTGTTAGCACTAAAGTTAATAAATATTGAATACACAATACAATAAATTTTTATTATTGCATAAAAGAAATTTTGTTTAAGTATAACATATCTAATCGAAAACTATCCGACCAATTTTAAAAAAGTTTTTATGGAATACTACTAGAGTAAAAAATAAACTTATGGATTTTAAACCCTAGTACTATATAATAAATCCAGAATTAGTCTAGAAATAAGCAGAACACCAGAACTGCGCAGTGAAGAAATTAGAATTGATATCCTTCTGTCCTTTTAGCACTTTTATTTTTTTTGTTGTAAGTTTATTAATATACTTTCATAAAGAGGTTTTCTGAAAAGTAGTGAACTACAATAAAAATTTTTTTTATATTATTTTAATTAATTGAATTTTTAGCTGTTTCGAATATTGCCAAATACCCTTCATCAGTGCTCTTAGAAATAATTCTTATATTTAATTACCATACTCGCAAATAATTTTTTTTGAGACTACATGTACTAGAAATCGTACTCGTGCCCTGCCAAATTTGAAGCTCAGAGTCAGCGCACCTTAACCGACTGACACAAAGCCGTATTTGACTTTTAAACTCCATTTTTCTGGAGTTTTGTTAATTTGGCGTGAAAGTTTTATTAACAAATTTACTCGCTGTGTTTATATTAGAACGAAATCATAAACCAGCTGTAGAATAATTGAATTAATTAATTATATTTTTTTATTTTTAGTTGTTAAATTTCTGTTAATATTCTGTTTGTAGAGACATTATTTGTTGCCTGATTTATCTATTCATTCTTATGTATAGAACCTAATCTAGGAACGTAATACTTTTGATATTATCAATACTGAAATATATGAGATTATTTTTTTTTTTCAAAAAAAAAAAATTTAATATATATGTTTGATATAAAAAAAGTAAAATATAATTTTTATCATCACATCGTTACAAAAATTAAGGAGTTTTAATGATTTATAATCCTATACTGAGTTAAGTGCATTGATATTTGATTGACATATTTTGTTTTTCAAAAAGTGATGTTATATATTATTTTCAAATTTCACAATTAATTATTCTCTGTGTGATAACAATTATTTTCTCATAAAATTTGTTGCAATTCAGCTTTGATGTATGTACTTTAGTTCTTTGATTTGTTAATCCCAAATGGAAGGAGTAGTAATTGCAACATTTTGCACCTTAACTGTTTCGTAAACTAATTAATTACAAAATTACAATTCTAAATGAACATCCATAAATTTATCACATAAATAATGGTATATACTTCAGTCAAAATAAGGGTGTTCAAATTGCATTTCAAGAACATCTAAAAACTTTTTAGGAATTTTTTAGATTTTTAGAATTATTAAAAAAATTATTCACCAATATAACTTCTGATGCATTTGTAGGATTTAAAGACAACTTATGACATGAAAATATTTTTTATTAAAACAAATGACGTGAATTCGCCCAACAGCCGGTATTGCGGTCAAAAGAGTACTATTATACTCAATTCACTTTTAACTACACAAAGCCCTATAAAGCTTTGTGTACAAAGTCCAGAACTAAATCTGAAAAAGAGCTCTTATTTTGTACTGGTTACAGTAATTCCACATGAAACAAATTTCTTCTGTGCGCTGTTAAAGCTGGACGATCAGAAAGAATATGCATACTTGTTTGCTCATCTTATAGACATAGTCTCCACTCTGGATTAGCAGATAATTAATGTTTATGTAAGTGATATTACTTAAGTAAATTACCTAAGTATTTATTCATATCTGATAATGAGGGTGTCTTGTGCAAGTATTGTTTACCAACTTTAAATATTTTTTTAGAAACCTTAAATTACCTAAGTATTTATTAATATTTCATAATGAGGACGTCTTCTTTTAGTTACTTAATTACATATACTTTACAGATCATCTAACTGCAAGTACTGTTTACTAATTTTAAATATTTGTTTTTGTTATTTTTTTTTTCTAAATTTAACTTTTTTCAATGACTCACTGTAACATACCCGTCACGGGTCCACTGTATTTAGTGTATTTTCGTTATTTACAGTATTTTTTTAATTAAACTTAAGTTAATCTTAAGTCAAACTTCATATTTAACGTAAAGCTGTTTTAATTCAAGTTTTTTCATAATTTTTATTTCAGTTAAATATTAAATTTTTGATTTTGGTCTTAAATTATCTTTCATAAGGTATCGAATCTTTAAATTGTATCTTTGCATGCCATTAAATCCATCGCGTGCTGCCCAAATATTCATTATACCAGTACATTCAGAGAATTAAAAATGTTGAAAAACGCTCTATAACAACTTCAACATCAGTATATCAATATGAAGTACACAAATCTAAATACATACTTTGTGCAATAGTAATGTAAGTTAAATTCCAATGAAAGTCAAACTAGAACATTTAAAGTTCAATCAACAATTTGACCTAAAGTTGACACAAGGGAGCAGGACTACTGCACAGAATGAACATACTAAAACAATCATTGACCAATGACCATTACGAGTGCATTTAAAAGTTATTGATGAAAATGAAAACAATTCAATTTACCGACAAAGAAAATAGTACCAGCAATGGCAAAATATTATCAAAGTGGGGGAAATGAAAGTCAAAATGATTTTGTCAATGTAAAATGCAGGCATTAAATTGAAGTACAGATTAAATGGATTTCTCACAATAAAACTAGCATTCCAAAATGGAGTTCAACACATCAAGTTACCCGAGATAGTCAAGTCATTGGGGAAGGTTGACTCTAATATAAATGGAAATCAGAGAAAATAACAATAATACTCGTCACAACGGCCAACGGTGTAATATCGTTTGTAATTTTGGTTTAACTTTTGGTTAACAATAAAAGAAACTATTAAACTTCTAAAATGCAGAATATACTCATAACAAATACGATTAATACGAACAATTCAACAATTGAATGCTTTGAGTCCTGCTCTTCAATGCGGAATTCCAAATGTCAAAACTTCACAATCAATCTCCGTACAAAATTCAAAGGTTAAATGGCTTATAATTTTATTAAATATTTGTTACGATAACGATAACTAGGAAAACCAACAAAGTTTCAAACCCCAACTTGTTGGGCACTCAATGCAAATTATTTTCCTATAAACAACATTGAACTATACAAATTTGCTGACAACATAGAAATTTATTTTATTTTTAATTTAATTTGAATTTAATTTGAGTTCTCCAAATAGTTTCACTCCTAGTGCAGAACTATTCTGCCAATATAATCGTATCTGGGTGTACAGTTTTGCAAAGCTTTTAAATAAATTAGTAATAAAGTGGAAGATTGTTTTAAATGCTGACATGCCTGGCAACTTTGCCTTTAAATTGGCTGCATGCTCTACAGGACAACCACACGCATGTAAGCCAACATGCCAGAAATTCCTTGCGTAAAGCCACATACACAGCCACACTAAAACAGTCCATTTTTTTTTGTTTGCTCTTAGTTGCAACTGCAATATGCACAGATTTTGAAACTGAAATTCTTGCACTCACACACACTAACAAATAACAAACAAGGATGAAGAAATTGCTGTTGGTCAGTGCAAGTTCATTTTATACGCAAACTACTAACAAGCCAACAACACACAATCGAAGGAACCACAGTAATTCCCTAGCATAATCATAGTTTGGTCAAAAATTGGTCGACCGAAGTCTTTAGGCGCACACGTGTGTGCACAACAGGAATCGGTTAAATTTTTATTTCACCAGTGACTTTCTTTATTCCTTGTTTTTCCTTTCACTACGAGTAGTAATTTGTTGAAATGTAGAAATGTGAAATTTAATTAGTGGTACGCTATGTAAGGTGAATTAATGGATTATTTGGAATTAAGGAATGTACAAGGTTATCCAAGTAAAATTTTAGTGCTATGTACTGCACTACGTAGTAAATTAAAAGCACTAAAATTTTAAAACCAAAGTTTTAAGCTTTTATTATCAAATAACAATAAGTTTAAGCAAAACGAATACGTGAGTCATTCAGTTTAAGCAAAAAATATCTAAACAAAGCTTTTAATAATTTAAAAAATAAAAATTAAAAATTTTGTATCAACTGTGTAGTTTAAATTTCTTTTAAACTCTTAAAACTTTATATAACAATTCATGACCTTAATAGTTACTTTGAAGACTAGAATTATTATTAACATATCCACATAGACCCATACTCTCGCACATGCACTAATATATCAAAGGGCAATGTCGGTGCTTCATTTCCAAAGATAATAGACATCAAAATTTGCTTTACTAACTACTGAATTTCTTTGGTATAACTTATAGCAAAGTTCTATTGAAACCGATTGCTGCCAAGAGCACGTTTCCTTACACATAAGAAAATAAACTATTGTTAATAGTTCTGTTATGGGTATCATTCATATTTATTTAATTTTTGAACAAATACGACTATTATACACTATAAGCAATGAACTGTTTAGGTCTCATCAACAGCTATTGGGTTGCCTTTGAGTCTATCATACTGAAGGTATGATAATTTTTTTTAATAATAAAAGTGATCAAAATTAAGATTAAGACCTATTGAGATAAAAATACATTTCATGGAGTAACGTTCTTACATTCTTAATTTTGAAACAAATAGTACGCATAAAAAGTAAATTTTCGAGGTCTCATAAGTAGCTAATGGGTCGTCTTCGGATCTGCAATACTTAAAAAAATGTAAATTTTTATTCGAAACAAAGCTATTGAGTCAAACCTCAAAGCATAGTAATTTTATTGTATTTATTTTTAAAAAGTACTATCCAATCACACCCAACAATCCATAAACAGCACTTAACAATCATATTTTCAGATCTCATCTGTAGCTGATGGGTCATCTTTGGATTTGCAATTCTTAAAAAGTGACAATTATTTTATTAACAAATCTATTGAGACAAAAATACGTTTTATTTGGTAATATTCTGATCTGCTTAATT